TCTCTCTCTGTCTCCCCCCCCCCTCTCTCTCTTTCGTTTTTCTCTATCGCTCTCTCGCTTTCCTGCTCTTGTTTCAAGCTTCGTTCTATTCTGTCGCGTACGTATTGTTGTTCTTTCTTACTGTAAGGTGCGTGCGATTTTTATAGTAATTTATACATTCTACCAATCTTGCTACCGATACCCGACAAGCCGTGATTAACAACTTATTATATTAATTGTACTTTATATTTCTATCGTATTCTTTCAACCTAATGTACTGCATTAATTAGCGCGTGTTAAATACCATTCACCGGGCGGCTGACCTTATTCTCCTTCTCAGGCTCGATAAACTTACTTTCGAAAAGGATTCAAAGCCTCTGCAATGCAATTAAAATAGAATAGTATTTATGGTTGATAGCTTTCTACGAGTACTTTATAATGTAGTTTACATTACTTAAATTCCAGCCAATCAATGACATTTTTCGTATATTACTTAACGTTAATTGCACTGACGGAGCCAATAGATCGTTCTCAAAAGGTGTGAATCTCGTAGTATTATTGAGTAGGCTTAATTCTATTAGATTACGATCTTAGTTCATATACAAAAGAGTGCAAGCAATCGAAGAATCCAGCGACCAATCGAGAGCGGTGTCGTTAGTTTTCAGATCAAATCACCAAGATGCTTCCAGATGTTGATGCAATTATTATTTACAGCAGGAGACATAAGTGGTGCATAAATTTATTTATTTTAAATTGTCGTGTATTTATGGGAAGTATATATAATATTTACAGGTATGATGGGTTTCAATGGACTGATGCGATGAACAAGACGACAATAATTTTGTGCGCGTTATTTTCGTGATAAATGTCTATAAACGGTTATACAATTGCATGAATATCAAAGGAGGAATCGAAATAAGTCGAAAACGATTTCAATGTTTATATTCTGCACTATCAAGTGCTCCTTTTATTATGCATTCATACTTTCAACAAGACTCTTTAAAATAATGCGTTATATTTATTTAAGAAATTGTTGCAATGAATTTGTACACAGATGAAGATGAATAATAAACTAAAGTATACAGGAACTGTCTAAAGGGTGAAGTAACTCATTGGTACGATTATCACATAACAAAACAATGTTAATATTGCGCAAATATTGACATTACTCGTTACAACTATTATTACGTGCGGATAGATTTTTAATGTAATTAATCTATCGTAGTATTCGGTAAAAGCTCTTCTTATACAAATTTCAGACACTAAGTATTGCAAAATTATGAAGTCACATACTTGATTATATAATTCATAATGTCACGTTAAACGGTGATGATTGGAGTTGTGATGGGAGTAGCAAGGATTGAAATTAAGATCAGTCACGATATTAGAAATGAGTTTTGAAACGTAGAACATTCGATATAAATGACGGAGGTGGACGTAGCATAATGAAATACTCGCTCATCGAACGAATTATTTTCCAAATAAGTATTTTCTGTATAAGTTTGCACAGGTGCTTCCCCAGCTCGTTTCGTTCTCATTTTAACTGAATTTCAATTCCTTGTTTAATTCGTGTCCTGACACTTCGATCCACCGGAATCCGTTAATACTTTTACAGATCATTGGACAATATCGTGTCATAGTAGGCTTGACCACTAATTACAAAAAGACTTAAATAAATAAACTCCAATAACTAAGCTTCGTGTTCCTTGCGATCTTTTCTCGTGTGATACTGACTCTTGTGGCTGATCAAGCTATTTTTCGACTTGTAATATCTACCGCAAATGTCGCAGACCAACGACTGCGGTATGTAAAAGTGTGTATCCGCCATGTGCCTCTGCAAGGACCAAGCCCTTGAAAAGCTCTTCTGGCAAATCTCGCAGTAAGTACCATTACTAATGACACCTTTTTTAATCCTCTCGCCTTTCCTCTGACATTGGCGACCGGCCGATGCCGATGCACTGCGCTCCCTCCTTCGATTTGGAGAACACGGGTTTTGGCATTGCGAATCGACAGACTCCTTTTGGGGAGCGTTGACGTTGTCGTGCACCATTGTCAGACAGGACTCAATGTCATCGCAGCTAATGGAGCTCGGGGATAGGGGCTCCGACTTCAATACGATCTGCATCTGATCCTTGATGTCGTCAAAAATGTCGATCATCTCCTGAGCGTTTTGCTCTTTCAGGTGGTAATTAAGTTGAAAACTTTGCTGCGCTACATGGATGTCGCTGTCGTGCATCTTAGGGTTGGACTGCCAAGCCCCATCCTCCTCAGTGACCTCCTGGTCTGCAACCAAAGAGGAGGGGGCTCAGTCCAGCTCTTGGTGTTCGTTCAACCAACTCCGGGAGTAAACACAATTGTTTTAACGCATTTTTTTCATCGTGATTCGCTGTCAGTGGCCGGTCTTATACAAAATCAAAAGCACATTATCATGCAGAGGAAGGTAAAAGGGTGAATAATAAAAATAATATACCAGTTCTTTTCGCGTTCGTCGATAGACGTAAGTTTGGCTAACTTAAGATTGATAAAAAAAATAAGACAGAGCAGAACAATTGAACGAGCGAGAGGGGAAGGGAGAGAGAGAGATAAAGAGAGATAAAGAGAGATAAAGAGAGAGAGAGAGAAAGAGAGATAGAGAGATAGAGAAAGAGATAAAGAGAGAGAGAGAGAGAGAAAGAGATAAAGAGAGAGAAAGAGAGAGAGAGATAGAGAGAGAGAGAAAGAGAGAGAGAGATAGAGAGATAGAGAGATAGAGAAAGAGATAGAGAGAGAGAGAGAAAGAGAGATAGAGAAATAGAGAAAGAGAGAGAGGGAGAGAGAGAGAGAGAGAAAGGGTGAAAGATCACGCGAGCGTGGGCTTGGTATTCAAGACCATGCTGACGGGAAAAGCGAGTACTGTTTACTCGAGAGCACGTTCTCCACACCACGTGCTCCCGGCTCTAGTGGTATAGGCAGAGGCAGAGTCAGCCTCGTCAAGGTCAAGTGAAAATGAGTGTGCGCGCTCGTGCACATACGCGCGTAGCAGTGTGCGACGAGACTGCTGGCGGATAAAGCGCCGGGTGGCGGATGAGATGTCAATATATAATGTGAAGTGAATAAAGTAGAGACGCTGAGTGAAGAACGAATAAATAAAAGAGAGAGAGAGAGAGAGAGAGAGAGAGAGAGAAAGATAGAACTATAGTTAGATAGATTGATAGAGATAGAGCGAGCGAGACGGAAAAGGGTGGGCGGGGGAATCGAAAGTAGTATGAGAAGAACGCGCGGCAAACTTTAGTGGTTGCTGCAGTGCTTCTTTGAGGGATTTTACCCGGCCGGTTACCCTGGCAACCGAACACACACTCTCTCTCTCTCTCTCTCTCTCTCTCTATTGCTCGGTTTGTAAGTCCTCGGAGCACAGACTGTTATAGGAGGGGTGGATACCTAGGATACGTATTATTCTTAATAACCTTGCTCGCTCGCCCGTAGGGCTGTATTATGACTGATGTTGACTCTGAGCGCGCGCGCCCGCTGTGCTCGCGAACTCGTGCGTCTTTCTTTTACCCTCTTTCTTTCTTTTTTTAACTTACTTACTATCTTATCTCTCTCTCTCTCTCTCTCTTATATTTTCTCTGTCTTCACTTACGATCGATAGACCGTGTCGCGAACAGGGAGAAAATATGACTGCCTTCCTGATTGGTTACCACGGAACCTTAGAGAGTGAACAAACTTTCTTCTGCTACAAGCGAAAAAGGATGAGGCTGTCGAACTACAAAGAAGAGAGAACGAAAAATAGTTCAAAATCTTCGTCTTCTTGCTGTATAACTTCCCCTTCCCTTCATCATTTCCCCTTGTCCGTCTCATCCAAATTCTTTACTTCATACTGAAATAATATATTTATTTTTCTTTCGTGCTCTCTCCTCCTCCTTTTCTTCGTAATTTCTACGAGTTCCCTTGCGGGAATGATTCTGGCTTTTAGCTACCAGTTTTCTTTTACCATTTACAGAGGTTTTGAAAAGACATTTTGTTCATTGCTTAGTGATATGCCTCGTTAAATTGCTGCATTACGTTCGTGCTTTGTCTTTGTCTTTATTCATTTCATTTGTTAAAGTAGAGCATCATAGTAATTAGGTACGATTCAAGTGCTGGCTAATATAAACAATCAATTATCAACAATCTTCAGGACGATTAAATGCATTATTAGCAATACTTATTGAAATTCTGAAAAATTTTACTACATTCCGTGACGCATAGATTGTGATCATATTTTTCAAATTTATCGACAATATAATAATAAGTAGTGCGTCGATATTATTATTGAGTAAAACTACATACACAGTATTTTCAAGTATATATTATCCATCCAGTTATCAAAGGTCGTTAAAAGTCTTACAAAAAGAAAAAGAGAGCTTCTAAATAGCTATTTCTGAATCGCTTACCAAAATTAATAAAACATAAACTTTAATAGATCGCACGAGATCCTGTTATCCCCCCCCCCTCCACCTCTCTCTCTCTCTCTCTCTCTCTCTCTCTCTCTCTCTAACAGTCACTTACTCACTCGCCTACGAATGCACGTACGCATTCATGCACGCATTAGCTTCTTCAAATTATTTCGCTTTTCGATGACTCTCTCATTTTTCACGATCATTTACGATTTGCTATTGCGCATTTTTCGAGGTCGATTCAAGTTCATCATCGATAATAGCCAACAAGCGAAAACAAGTCGCAAAGCTAGACCTAACTGACGGGACGATAAGTGTACGCGCACATACTACACTGATAAAGCGTGCCGATGCCGTTAGCCACGACTTGGAATGTATAATCGCAAAAGCGTCGCTTGCAAGATGACCCACAGATGGCTGCACCGTTGATTCTAGCGTCTGCCTTGTGCGAGGCGTTCGATCGCTCCATCGATGATAGCACCAAGATCGTTTCAACCGTGGGCTGACTGCATACGAATTTTGCAATAACGCTTTGATCTGTGAATGTCTTATGTATCTTAAACTAGGATTCGGCCTTGCTAGGATTGCTTATTTGTGTTAAGATTCGCAATGCGCTATTAAAAATCCTTTTTTAAGTGTTTGCAATAGATACGTTAAAAGCATGCGATTGATATTAAATATCATTTGTATGTAAACAACTACTTTTATTAAGATAGTATTTGTTATTAAATTAAGATGTAAATAAATATACGATTAAATTAAATCAAAAGAGAATATAAGATATAGAAATATGGTTTCTTTGTATAAAATTAATAATTTCAATAAATATATACGGAGTCGTCAAATATAGCTACTTATTACTTATCATATATATATATATATATATAGAAATTATCCAAGTTTTTCACACGAAAATATTTCGTGTAAAAGAACTAAGATCATTAAGGCAAACTGTTATCGGTTATGTTAATTAGACGTAAAGTATAAGAATAATATTATTTAATGGGCATTTCATAAGTCCTATTCTAACGATAATATTATTGTCCTTAAATTATCACAATTGTCACGAAAAATCATATATAAGTAATTTTGTGCGTCGCGCGTGTGTGTGCGTGTGTGCGTGTATGAACGTAGCGTTCGTGCATGCGCGTCTATGTGAATATTAATAAGAAACTGTTAATGTACCTACATGCGAGTAAAATCAAATCTATAATATCATAAAGGTATCACTTTGGTCTACTTTAAAGTTAATTTTTTATGCGTCGATAACTGTGAAGTAACTGGCATTAAAGTTAAAAGAAAAAATTCTGTCTTATTGTGTATTAAAAATTATTAATAGTAATACTTAATTTCATTTTGTGGAAAGTACATTTAAGGTAAACGTATGATCTTGAATAACGAAGACAAGTTTTAATGTATAATAAAAAGTAATACTTGATGAGCAAAGTTAGTAATTTTGTTTATATTCTTTCACCGTTATTACTGCATTATTCGTCTCAACGAACATTATCGCAATCTTATTTATACTTTTCAAATCCCTTACGTAAATATTCTCATTGACTTCATCTGGTGAAAGAGTAGTTCGGTACTGCTGCAAGACACGTCGTCCCACATAAAACTGGCATACACCAAAACGAGATTATGCAGCGACTATAAATAACGAAACTTTCCAAATTTCGCGATCCAAACAAGATGCGCTCACTCGCACACGGATTTCGAGAAGCGCAGATTCGACCCAATAAATAACCCTTGTATCCTCCGACAAGCCTCGGCTTGGCTTTCACGGGTTCTTCCGGATTGGTATATCCATCCAAAACCCTACCTATGCGTACTAGAAGATTTCGGCACGGAGAGAGAAAGAATTTGTCCAAAGTCCTCACCATTGCATTTTAAGTTCTAAAAAATACCTAATGACTGGACAAATTAATGAAGCTAGATGCTGTTAAATGCTACCGAATATCCACGAATACATCGTACATTGGAAATCAATTATATTTTTTGTACAACGGAGACCTTATTTAATGTTTCAAGAATACCGATGGGAGTACCTACTCGAGGAGCTTTTCATTTAAGAAGATTAAACGCTTGATTAATTTTCCCAAGTGTTCTTCGAAGTAATAAAGATCGACGATAGAAGGAGCTTCGTTAAAAATAAGATAGAATATATTCGAAGCGAGGGTTAAGCATTTTAATGTTCGTTTAAAAAAGAAACATGGATTTTGTTGGTCGGTAATAGCGGTTTGCAAATTACGTAAAGAAGAGAGTGCAATAATACGGCAACTTGGCGTAAGTATTGAGAATGGACGAAGGGAATGGGAGGACGTGCGACCGGAAAAATATATTCGCCTGGCGACACGCACAATCGTAAGATTTGCTCTACAGAAGTAGCGAGCGAAAGACGAGCAAAGTCTTCGCACATCTACAGCTATTTTTACGCAGCTGGGCTTCACAACAGGTTATACGTATTCCAAAGCTTCTGGATGTGGAAAAAGATGAAGCGACGCGAAGGGCGAATAGAAGAACTTGCAAGGAAAAGGAAATATATAGACTTTGCCTGCTGTTACTGCTGCTGCTGCTGTTGTTGCTACTGCTGCTGCTGTTGCTGCTGTTGCTGCTGCTGCTGCTGCTGCTGCTGCTGCTGCTATTGCTGCTGCTATTGCTGCTGCTGCTGCTGCTGCTGCTATTGCTGCTGCTATTGCTGCTGCTGCTGCTGCTGCTGCTATTGCTGCTGCTATTGCTGCTGCTGCTGCTGCTGCTGCTATTGCTGCTGCTATTGCTGCTGCTGCTGCTGCTGCTGCTATTGCTGCTGCTATTGCTGCTGCTGCTGCTGCTGCTGCTATTGCTGCTGCTATTGCTGCTGCTGCTGCT